TAATGCATCAGTGAGCAGTGTGCACAACAAGCCGTCTCTTCCATTCACAGAGCCCAAACCTCACTGTGCATCAATGGCAACCCACATCTTCCAGAAATTCAAATTCAAACCCACCTCCAATGTTCCTTCAATGTCCACCACTCTCCGATCCAAAACCACCTCATCCCAGTATGTAGCCTCCAGATCCAGAGAACACACATTCGAGAAACTCATGGACAAGTATTGTGGATCAAACTTTACAAAAAATTTCCAGCAATTTTTTTTCCTCAGCTCTCTCTCTCTTCTCCTCCCTCTCGATCTGCAAACTTTGTTGATTTTCCTTCTTTTTTTTTTTTGGTCTGGTTCGCCAAAACGACGTCGTTTTGGAGAGAAAGAATCTCAGCCCTTCGATTGTTCACTCTAGGAGATCACTCTAGAGGGAAGGCACTCTAGAGGATCCTCACGCCAACAACCTTCCCTCTCCTTCCCTACCTAAAGACAGGTGTTGGTACGTGTTAATTTTATTATTTATATATATATTCGTTTGCAATTAACATAATTATTTTTAGAGAAGTGGCATTGCATTTTATTTTTATTTTCTAATATTTTAGCCTTTTAAATTGCCAATTTTGTTATTTTGTTTTAAGGGGAAAAAAATAGCCAAATGCTACATCATCATCATTATCATCAACATTCGATTGTTACTACTCGATCTTCTTATTCAAGCAAACAATATAATTTATTTAACCATCTTTTTTATATATATATACAAATAGATAAACCATCTTTATAAATCAATACTAATAATAACTAAAGAAAAATCTTTCTTGATAATCCAAAACAAAAGTAACAAGCTAGTTCCATAATCAAATTTGCAAATTCTTGAAACCATTCTAAATTCAACAAACCTAACTAAAAAAACAGGTTATCTTGTCAACATATTTGCACTCCAAATATCCAAAGACCCTTTTTCTCTGCTCCGGTTGATTCAGCTTTCGTTGCTTCCTTGTCTTCCTCAATTTCCTTTGCATTCTTGCCACCCCCAATATTTTCCCACAGACGAAGTCCCAACGCCTCTTCCTCAGAACCCTCCTCATCCTCACGATGATCGACGATATCCTCAGCATTTTGGTCTGTATCCTCCACTCCACTAGCGTTGCTATCCACCCAATCATCGAAGGCTACATGAATCATACAGAACGTCCGAATCTGATTTGATCCCTCCCTACACTCACACATAGAGAAAATAACAATGTCCTTTTCCTTTAGCTCATTTTCCTTCACAAACCGATTCCAACCCCTAGTGAAGACAAAACTTTGGCTGCTCTTCCAATAGCAGTAGCGAAATTTCCACGACCTCATTAACCGATCATAGAATACTAGCTGCACATCCTCCACCCCACCATCACTTGGATTTTCTTTCCCATCTTCATGAATACGAGGAAAATACCTCAGAGCGTATTTCTTTGGAATGACAAGCCGGTTAAGCTGGCCCACATCACTCGGTGTAAGCTCCTTTTGGAAAAGTTGTCTACACAAAAATCCTCCATTGCCATTCTTGGGCACCAACTTCTCTTTTTTTCCCTCCGGGAATTGCATCCTAAGAAAATCGTCAAACTTTGATGGGTATGAACCGTCCTTGATCATGTTCAGCACTGCTTCTGTACTGAAATGACTCTGGAAGTACGGCTCTTGAAATGTGACATTTGTCCATGGTAAGTTTCTGTGGGAGTCACCACTTCGAAGTTTGATGGCTGCACTATCATATGCCATTGCCGCTTCACTTTCTGATTTAAATGTCCCGAGCCAAATGCGCTGGTGATTGGCGTAAATTTGTGCACCCCAGTTCCCATTCTGTTGACTCACAACTCCTTTGAATCTTGAAGCAGAGACACCAATATTGTGTCTAGGACGCTTGTTGTGATGCAATGAAGGAGTACTACTATTCAAGTCCAAAGCTTCCTTAGTTAAGGTTGTCGCAGCATTTAAAGCCATACTAGTTTCCTCTTCCATTGCAAATCTGAAGGAAAACAAGTTGCATCAAAAGGCCAAGGAGAAATAAGCAAACTTAAGAAGTGCTATATATAAATTCCCGAGCGAACTACTAAAAATGTATATACCAAGCAGAATTGTACCCAAAAAAAAAAAAAAAATAGAACACAAGTACAAGTTGAACAAAACGACGTCATTTTGGCGTGTAATTTGTAAAAAAAAAAAAAAATTCAGATTTGTCTCTGTTCTCTTCTTTTTCTTTCCCCACTGAACTACTCACGGATTGAGTTCTTGGAGTTCGCGATGATCAACACAACGTTCCAAACTCTCTAATTGATCTCTTTGGAATTCTCTACAGCAACGTGGTGTTGTTCTATCTACATTCTGTCCCTCACTTTCTCTTCAATTTTCTGGAAAACCAATCACGAGTTGCTCATAGAATTCAACTATAAAATCTCTAGGATCAAAACCCTAAAAAACCCAAGAAGAAAGTGTAGCAGTGAACCTTTAGAAGCCTTAATTCATGGGTGGTTCAAAGGTCTCAGCAATGTTCTTCATATATTTGATTTTCATGTTAATGGAACGTCGGCAGACATGGAGATCGGCGAAGGAGATTGTTCAGCTCGTCGACGGATCGAAGACGAAGGCAACGTCGGCAGACATGGAGATCGGCGAAGGAGATTGTTCAGATTTTTCAGCTCCTCTCATTTCCTCTTAGCCCTTCTCTCTCTCTCTCTCTCTTCTCTCAGCCCTTCTCTTTGTTTTGAAATCTGAATTTTTGTTTTTTCAAATTACACAGAAAAACGACGTCGTTTTTGTCAGGATAAATCTCAACCCTCCGATGATCACTCTACGAGATCACTCTAGAGAAGAAACTCTAGAGGATCCTCACGCATTATTTGGACACTTAATCTATCAAATCTTAATTCTCATATTTAAAGTAATTTTTGGACAACTTTACCTTTACAATTATTTATTTATTTATTTTGAATAATTAGCAACTTAGGGATATGAATATTCATATTTTATAACATAAATATTCACATTGATGTGTAAATGTTCATATTGACGGTGTGAACATTCACACCATCAATGTGAATAGTATTATTAGAGATATTTTGATAACTATGTCACTCATAAAATTTATTGAAATATAAAAAAAATAATAATAATTTGGACAAAGTGGAACATAAGTAGGTGAAAACGGCTTATGAATAAGTGCCTCATATTTTAATTCACATAATACTTGGATCATTTTTTATCAATAATTCGTGATATGTGTGAGTGAAAAAATAATTTTTCATATATATTCTACTAAAATGTAAATTTATCTTTTTTATTTTATTGTCTATTCGCCATTTGTTTTAGCTTCGATGACATGAGTTAGTGTAATTATATCAAAGTTATAATAAATCTCACATTTTTATATGAAATTTACTGTGATCATCTGTGAACTAATACTAATTACTAATACACTAATTAAGACACAGACATAACGGTTGTGTCTCCATTAATTGAACTTGAGATATGGATGAAGTACACCCTTAATTTCAAGTTGTGTCCACTAAGTCAACCTCTTGAGATTATATATATTGTCTTAATATTTTTTCTCATCCAATCAATGAACGAATCCGGATCCTCGGTGCCCCTTTCTTGCGGCACACCCCTGTAGCCCTCCAAAACGATGTCGTTTTGGAGGGTGTTTTTTTTTTTCTTTTCTTCTTCTTCTTTGATTCGATAACAAAGGGGAGGGGAGGGGAAGAAGAGAGAGAGGAAAGGAGAAGAAGAGGGGAGAAGAAGAAGGGTGGTGGGAGGGGAGCCGCCGAAGCCGTCGCAGAAGAGGGAGAGGACGGACGGGAGGGGAGCCGCCGAGGCCGTTGCAGAAGAGGGAGAGGACAAGTTCTCCTCCACTCTGGCCGGGGCTGCTCCTTCGACCTCACCACCGCCATGGCTGGTCGGGGCCGCCCTCTTCCTTCTTCTTCCCTCTTCTTCTCCCTTCTTCTCCCTTCCTTTCTTTGCCATGGTTGCTCAGGGCTGCCCTCTTCCTTCTTCTTCCCTCCCTCTTCTTCGAATCAAAGAAGAAGAAGAAAAGAAAAGCAAAAAGAAAAAAAAACCCCTCCAAAACGACGTCGTTTTGGAAGGCTACAAGGGGGGTGTGCCGCAGGAAAGGGGCACCGAGGATCCGGATTCATCAATGAACTAATCACTTACGTTAATTATATCAACTTACATTGCACACGACATTTAACTATTTAAGAAAATGGAATAATATATTATTACATGCATATCACAATTTGATAATCACATGAGGAAAGCACCTTGTTTTGTACAAATACAAGTAGGTAAAACTTACGCATTGAAAACTTACATATAAGTGGAGAGAGTACAACCTCTTGATAAGATGCAGAGACTTTTGGCCATCTCTCTCAACCAAACTTAAGATGACATTATTGACAACCCTTCTTTACATTTATAATTATACAAATAATATTTTATAATATTCATAGATAATATTTTATAATATCTTCTTATACATGTGATGTAAAATAAATAAGCATGAAATAAGTTATATAGTTTGCTTATTATTATGCTAACCATGAAGCGCATCGTGTTCATTTTGATAATACCTCGTGATCTATAAAAGTTTTTCAACACTTCATAAATTCATTTAATAACTGTGGTGTTTCCATTTGTATTTCTTGTATTCATTCTCGCATATTGTGTACTTCCAAGTCAAGCTGCCAAGTTTTTCAAAGTGGGTGTTGAGCTAAGCCTCTTCTTTCATTAGGCTGCCCTTGAGGGTATGATATTTTGATATAGCCCGTAATAAGACAAAAGGCCCCTCAGCAGCGGCATTCTTCCTTGACTTTATCCTCTTTTTATTAGAGAATTTCATTTTGCCCCCAAACTATATTTCAATGATTTCAATTTCATTCAGCTTTGACTTTGAATAGATTTCTATAATCTATGGATAATTTGGATATGATTTTGATGAATGGATTTCTATATTCTTTTAATAGTTTTGAATATGTTTAAAAACCTAGATATGGATAGTTTTTGGATGATTTAGAACTTAAGGACTTTTTGTGGATCATTCAGAATATTTTGGATAGATTTGAACTTATGTCACATTTTTTGATGTCTAAAAACATAGTTCTTGGATGGTTTGGAATGTATAGATAGTTTTTGGTTATATATATATATATATATATATTTGTTTGATATTTGAAACAATATTTTGGTGGTTGATATATATATATTTTTTTGATTGATACTTATATATATGTTTGTAAAGCTTGTTTAAAATGCTTTCTCAAATTGTATATAATAGGCGAAATAAAACCTGTTGAATTTAAAAACATATATATGCATATTCTACGGCATGTAAAAAATGCTGTGAAATTTGAGTTATCTGCAGCAGACAAAATAGGTCATTGTATTAAATATTTAACAACTAGCAATGAACGTCATGGATTTTTTCTTGAATTAATGGCATGCAAAAATAATTGTAGAAAAATCAAACATGCTGCTGTTAATGACGTATGATGGAACGCTGTTGAATCATATCTACGGCATGTATTTTAGGTCGTTAAAAAAATTCTAATGGTTTACATAACTTTAACATAATCTAACAACCATCTGTAAAAGTATTTGCGTTAAAAGAATAAATTAAACAAATACATTTAGAAATAACCCAGACTGAAGACCTTCAAAAACATGGTTTACACTGTCCTTTTTTTTTGACGCGGGGTCCCTCGGTGGGTAAACCCCTGCCGTGCCTAAAACGACACTGTTTTGTTTTGTTTTTTTTTTTTTTCACGTTCTGACCTTATTTTTTGGCATGATAAATTACACTTTGTCCTAAACCTGAAACGCTAAAATAAAAATAAATAAATTTTACGAATTAAACCCCAAATCCTAAACTCTAAAATAAAAAAAATAAATTTTATCTCCAAACCCTAAACCCTAAACCCTAATCTCTAAATCATAAAATAAAAATAAAAAAATTTAAGAATTAAGCCCTAAACCCTAAATCCTAAACCATAAACCATAAAATAAAAATAAAAGAAATTTAAGAATTAAACCCTAAATCCTAAATCCTAAAATAAAAAAAAAATTTAAGAATTAAACCCTAAACCCTAAACCCTAAAATAAAAATAATAAATTTTATCACTAAACCCTAAATCTTAAACCCTAAAATAAAAAAAATAAATTTTATCCCTAAACCCTAAAATAAAATTAAAAAAAAAATTAAGAACTAAACCCTAAACCCTAAACTCTAAACCCTAAAATTAAAAAAAAATTAAGAATTAAAGTAAAAAAGTGACCAACCAAAAAAAAAAAGAAAAAAGAAAAAAAGAAACAGCATTTGGTTGGTCACTTTTTTACTTTAATTCTTAAAATTTATTTTTTTTTATTTTAGGGATTAGAGTTTAGGGTATAGTTCTTAAATTTTATTTTATTTTTTATTTTATTTTAGGGTTTTGGGATAATTTTTTTTTATATTTATTTTAGGGTTTAGGATTTAAGATTTAATTCTTAATTTTTTTTTTATTTTAGGGTTTAGGGATAAAATTTATTATTTTTATTTTAGGGTTTAGGGTTTAATTCTTAAAATTTATTTTTTTATTTTAGGATTTAGAGTTTAGGGTTTAATTCTTAAATTTTATTTTTATTTTTATTTTATGGTTTAGGGTTTAGGATTTAGGGTTTAATTCTTAAATTTTATTTTTTTATTTTAGGGTTTAGGGTTTGGGGTTTAATTCTTAAAATTTATTTATTTTTATTTTAGGGTTTAAGGTTTAGGGCAAAGTGTAATTTATCATGCAAAAAAAAAAAGTCAGAACATGTAGCGATCTTGGTTTTGATCATTCTTTCATGTTTTGTCACTTCGACTGGACCGGTCGGGGATCGAGCTGCCCAGTCAGCTCGCGGGAGTCTAGGAGGCAGCGCCCTTTGGCTGGTCCGAGGGCAGTGCCCTGGCGGGGTCAAAGGGCAGTGCCCCCGAAGCAAAAATGCAA